GAAAGCCTATTAAACATGAGATAGAAATGAGGGAATTAGCGGAAGCACTGTTGTTACCTGTTAAGGTGGCAGTGGTAAAATGCAAAGGACACAGTGCCGGATTGGACTTAGTGGCATTAGGTAACAAACAGGCCGACTTAGTAGCTAAGCAGACAGCTGGTTACTTACCCTCCCTGATTATGGTAATGGACCCAGAAGCCACACCCCCTCCAGAAAGACCACCCATACAACTAGGCCTAGCCACAATCAGAGAGTTACAGGACAAAGCCAGCCCCCAGGAAAAATCATTGTGGGTAACAAGAGGGGCCACAAACACAGATGTTTGGCGTGGCCCAGATGGAAGGCCCATTCTACCGCCAGGGGTCAGACAGACAGCAATGGAAGAGGCACATGGAGTGGGGCATGTGGGACCTGCACAAATGATGAGGAACTTAGCCGCCTGGTGGCACCCTTATCTAAAAGACATGACAAAATACATGGTTAAAACCTGTAAGGAGTGCAACCAATTTGGAATCAAGCCCGCCTTCAAGCCAATAGCAGGGTACTTCCCCATCCCACTTTGCCCAGGGAAAGAAATAATCATTGATTACACAGACATGGTGGACAGAGTAGGTGGTTACAGGTACCTGCTGGTGGCTGTGGATGCATTTTCAGGTTGGCCAGAAGCCTGGCCGACAGCAAGTGAAAACAGTAGAACTGTGGTGAAGTGTCTGATTAATCATTATATACCACAGCATGGGTTTCCCGAGGTCATAAGGTCGGACAATGGTTCACATTTCAGGAACCACGATCTGCAGAGGGTTGAAGCCGCATTAGGTTTGAAACATAAGTTTGGCTCAGTTTACCACCCCCAGTCCCAGGGGAAAGTGGAAAGGATGAATCAAACTCTAAAAACTAAATTGGCTAAAATCTGTGCACAGACCAAATTAGATTGGGTTAAGGCATTGCCTCTTGCATTAATGTCCATAAGATGCTCAGTAAATCAAACCTCTGGTTACACTCCATTTGAGTTGGAGCATGGCAGGCCTTTTCCTGGCCCCTCCTCTCGCCTGTTAATGTCGGATGAAGCTGATTCAGACCTCGATCCGAGGACATATTATAACATGCTCCGCAGTTTTGTTGCCCAGTATTCCTCACAGGTCGCTGAAAGAAACCAGCAAGAGCTGAAAGAGGCGGCTACACCTGGAATGGACTACGTCCTCCTGAAAGTCACAAAGAGAAAGTGGGCTGAGCCTCGCTGGACAGGCCCTTACCGCATAACAGAGCGGACCTCCCACGCTGTCAGGCTCGAAGGGAAAGGTGACACCTGGTTTCATTACACACAGTGCGCTGCTGCCACCGAACCAGAAAGAACCTTGAGAGAGGTGCAGAAGGACCTGTCAGAAGGAGCTGCAACAGCATCACCAACCACTTGAGGGAGCCAAAACTCAACCTACAAGCCGGCTGGTTACAAAAGGGGGTGTTCTTCATACTGAACTAAACATTTTTATTCTTCTATTTTTAACATCTTTTATGACTTTGCTTTTATATTGGCTTGAGTTTTTAAGATTTACATTTTACATTGCAATAGTTTTAACCGCTGAAAGCTCATTTAAAGTTGTGTCACTGATACTTTTTGTTGCTCTTTAACTCCTAGAACACGCCCTTGGCGAGGTGGGGGGAACTGGACCACCTTTCTCTGCCCCATCATCCTCTATTAGAAGACATCCAAGCTAAGTAAACATGTCTTGGCCCTTTCCCCCTGAAATGACAGGCAGGCAAAGATGTTGCGTCTTTGTTTGCTTCCTGGCCCTGGGTCTCATCCCCATTGGCATAATCCTGATCTGTGAAGGGCCCCCGACACTTCTGACACCTTCAAGTTCAAAAGCTTCGCCCCCTTCTGACAGTCCCAATCTGACAAATGTAGCCCCTAGGGTCTTGCCCACCACTTACTCTCCAGTTTTGCCCACGCCCGATCCATTTAGAAAGAAACGACACACGGTTACCTCCTGCACCCCAAGTACGACTAGAATGATTACTCTCTGTGTCCCCAACAATAAAAGTTGGGTAGTCGAAATAGATTTCGCTAGCTTCCCAGTCACTCCCGTCACCAAAGACCAAGGGGGGATCTTTTAACCTTGCAGTACATCTCTCCTCCTCAGTGTGGTATATAACCCTGGGAGGTTGGCATCAGTGGAAGTGGTCCAGTTTAGTGTCAGAAACGGACCTCGATTGGTCCAAGCACTCTAGGGTCAGGCTTTGCACTGGAGAAACCAAAATATGCTCAGAATAGCAAAAAAACCGGATCTTTCAGGCTTAATTTTTACCCTAAAGGATCTGGCCTTGACCTCCTGTCAACAATTTATACTTGCCCCTTGGACTGATCGCACCGCCCTGTATTGGCAAATGGAAATATGCCCTAGCGTTGGTGCAGCTCCAAGCTCTGTAGTTAAAGATGATAACCCCACCTTTAATGGCCCTCCGGTGACATATACAAACGGGGGGAGAAACGGCCGAATACGCATTGTAGACACAAATAAAATGTCTAAAGATGACCTCTTCCAAATTCTAACCGGTATTTCTGGAGCAACAAACAACTGGTTACTACTAGCTGAACAAGCTGCTGACAAGACGGCTTCCGACTGCATAGTATGTATGGGAGCCCGCCCGACTTTAAGAGTTGTACCGGCGCCAGTCAATAGTGCATGCCTCCTGCATCTTATGAACAATACAAAACGAGGTCATTGCTCATATCTGGAAAACCACTTTCCTAAAACTCAACGCTCGGTCTCTAATAAACCACCTTTCTTTTCTTCAGATGTAGCTGTGAACAATTTCACTTGTATTAACCTGACTGGCAATGCAGTAAAACTAGGTAGCTTGAACTCTTCTTGGTGCACTGAGATGACGGTTATGAAACCAAACTTCCGACCTACGGCTAGGGCTGATTTGTGGTGGTGGTGTGGCAATAACAAGTTATATGATGGTTTCCCTCGGGATGCGTCAGGTCTTTGCGCTCTCATAACTCTTATTTTACCTGTTTTAGTCACTCCAGTAGATCTCTCTATAAAAGTACACGAAGTTGGCCTCCCATCCTCCTCTGAACGCCGCTCTAAACGTTCTCTAATCCCAGGTTCAGCTCATAATCCAACCTATATTGATGCTGTAGGTATACCCCGTGGGGTCCCCGATGAATATAAACTGCGAGACCAGGTTAAAGCAGGATGGGCCTCGATACTTTGGATGGTTGAAATAAATGCGAATGTAGACAGAATTAACTACATTCACTTTAATGTGCAACTGTTGGCTAATTACACTCGAGATGGTTTTGAAGCTGTGCATGCACAGTTATCTGCCACTTCCCTAATGGCTTTCCAAAACAGGGTCGCAACGGATTTTCTCCTCGCAGAAAGAGGCGGAGTCTGCAGCCTTTTTGGTCAGGAGTGCTGTACCTATATCCCCAATAACACAGCTCCTGATGGTTCCCTCACTAAAGCTATTACTGGTCTCACAGCTCTTACTGTTAAAATGAAGGAACACTCGGGCGTTGATACTGCCATGTGGGACTCTTGGCTTAACATGTTTGGCAAATATAAGGCCCTTGTAGCTTCCATCCTAGTTTCCATCTCAGTTTTTGTTGCTATCCTAGTCACCTGCGGTTGCTGTTGTATTCCATGCATTCGATCCCTCTTCCAGAGACTGATTGTTACAGCTCTCACTCCTGAGGATAAGGATCTCGCCCGGCAGATGCCTTTATTGGCTAGTCAACTTCCCACCTCCTCGCCAACGGATGATGAAAACTCTGATCGTGAGGGTGACGAACATTATCGTCTTTCTCTTGTTTAAATTCTTCTAGAATGGTTGTTTCTCTGTGGTGTTTTGTATTAGGCTTGTTATTAATTGTTTCCCTCACCCACTTCCTCTTGAAGGATATATCTGGTTGAACTGTGTCTGGTCGGGTTGTGAGGGTTAAGCGATGTTCTCAGGGTCTCCGGACTTAAGCCTGAGCGAATGTGTACTCCCACCACTGGATATAAGTTGTTTTTTCCACACCCCTTCCTCACGTTTTACCATATTCACTTTTGAATGTCCTTAGCAGTTACCGTTCTGGGTTTATTTTACGGTTGATTTATTCTTTCACATTTTCACGTTTATATCTCTCATTATTATAGTATACTCTGTACTCTCCACATTTTTATCATTACTTATCCTTTTTGGTTGCTGACTTACAGGAACTGTTAATTTTGTGTCACTACCCTGGTTGCACTGACTCGTTGTATCCTTGTGTGCAGGACAGCTGTTACTGCTTTCGTCTGGAACCGAGACTGCTTGCAGCCGACCCCTGGGCAGGGTGGTGCCTGGACTCTTTTCTCCTCATCTGCAATGACAGATAAAGACAAATGATAAGACCCGAGGAGTTTTTCGAGCCAGGCTTCGACACGTCTCTGTGTTCCTTTGAATGTTACTTATTTTTGTGTGTTGACCCATTTAAGATGGGTCAAAAGGGGGATTTGAAGAAAATATAATCTGATCAAACATTATTCAGCTTTAAATATTGTTCAGCTTTAAAGTTACTGTGCAACTGTGTAATAAAAATGTGCTCACGACTTTGGCCTTGAGAGCGATAAGAAGCGATCGCCTCATCCTGCAGGTGCAAGATATCTGCAAGCGAAGAGACTAGAACACCCAAGGCCGCTTTCCTTTTATGGAGTTGTTTTTCTGCTAATGCAGCACTTTCCTCACAACCCCCTCCTGTAAGTTTTAGAGAATATATACCCATCCTCACAGCAAATATGAGGAATCTCCTGATGTGAGCTGTGTTGAGAGGTTGTCTCTGTCTCAATAAAAGTTCACTGATTCCCCATCTGCAGCAGGTGTCCGGTTGTCTTCATTCTCCGCCAGCCTGGTTAAGTCAATTCCTCCTTAACATCTAAAAGAACCTATTTAATGAAGGAAGACGGGTTCACTTTGTGTTTAATATTATTCTATTGCTGTTGTTGTTTTTTTATATCCTTCAGTACCAGGCATTGTTCATCCAAGGGTGAATGTGCTCTTGAGTCATTTCAGTTAGATGGGAATTGTCATGGGTCCACCTCTTGAGATGGGGAATAGTTGGTTCTGTCCTGGGGGCTCCGCTGGGCATCAGCCAGAAGAGCATCATCATCAAGATGACGGCCATCAGACAGAATAGGCGACACATGAGCCGTTTCCATTCAAAGTGACAAGCACTTAAGCATAACAGCTTTGGGGCTGGGGCTGGTGGCTCTTCTTCTCCTAGATTCATTGGGCTGGTTTCCTCTATTTCAGGCGTCCCCGGTGTTGTCATTGGTTCTTCTCTTTGGTGGGATGGGTCACTCTTTATTATGTGTTTGTTCTTCAGGGCGACCAGGCACACCCGGGCTCCAGGTGAGTAGACCACTGGCGAGAAGACAAAAAGGCGGGATATACCCAAACAGCCCTTTCCTCCACCAGGGAACACCTAGGAGTCGGGGGAACTGGCGTCTTATTGTGGTGCAAACACTTTCTTCACGTGACTTTGATGGATCCACGAAGGTCTTTCAGCTATCTTACAAGCTGTCGGTGTAGTCAGCAACACCTGGAATGGACCCTCCCACCGCGGAGCACTCCAGTTTTTTCGCTGGAGGACTTTAATCAGAATCCAATCACCGGGGTTCAACCTGCAAGAGACTGGAGATAGATCACTCGGGAGTTGACTGCTTAATATCACTTCTTTATTCTCAAACTGTTTTGTCATCCATTCTGCCATCGTTGTTTCTGTGATGGACTTATTAATAGGCTCACTGGTTATTGGGAGAGGGAATGGTCTGCCATGTATGACTTCAAATGGGGTCAGACCACCTGCTCCTTGAGTTATTCTCATCCATAGCTTAGCTAAGCTTAAACACTCAGGCCATGGTTTTTTAGTTTCTTCCATACATTTTCTCAATCTCTGTTTAATTGTGCCGTTAGTTCTCTCGACTAATCCTGCACTTTGTGGATGATATGCACAGTGATGCTTTATGCTGAAACCTAAAGCTTCAGAGACTTTACTTATTACTTCATTTACAAAATGTGTGCCATTATCAGACCGTATTATGCTTGGAATGCCATATGTCGGAATGAAATGGTTGCACAAACATTTTGCTACTGAAATTGCATCTGCTTTTTTCACTGGGTATATTTCTGGCCACTTGGAAAATACATCTATTATCACAAGTGCATACTTGGAGGATTGAGATTCATTTAGTTCTATAAAATCCATGTGGATAGTGTGAAATGGGTGTGGCGGTGTAGGGAAACGACCTCGCTTTGGTCGTAAATTTCCCTGAGCATTGTGTTTTTGGCAAGTCATGCATGTTCTAATAAACTCTTTTGCTGAACTTTCAAAATTTTTTGTGTAGAATTGTTTATTAAGTATATGAATCATCCCTCCTGATGACACATGAGTTTGCGAGTGTGTCACTAATGCGGCAGTTTTATGCAAAGATTTTGGAAGGATTGGTTTGCCATTGCACATCATGAGATTGTCTTTTAATTCTGCTCCATCTTTCAACCAAGATTTTTGTTCACTCAGTGATGCTGTTTTCTGTGCATCTGCTAGTATCTCTAGTGGTATTAAATCTATGGTTTCTGTTGTTAAAACATCAATGTGTTTTTCTGCAGCTGCTTTGGCTGCTTTATCAGCAAAGTTATTTCCTCTTGTTATTTCTGTGTCATCCTTTTGATGAGCTGCACATTTACATAGTGCTAATTCTTTTGGCAACGTTATCACTTCTAATAGCTTTTTTTAGAAGGTTTGCATGTTGAACTGGGTTGCCTGTGGAAGTTGTCATTCCTCTGTTTTGCCATATTTTTGCAAAATGGTGAACTGCTGAATAGACATATTGGCTGTCTGTGTAAATATTAACACTTTGACCTTTGTACAGTGTACATGCTCTAATGACCGCGGTCAGTTCTGCGCTCTGAGCAGAGTTTGAGGAACTGAGAGCTTTTGCCTCTACCACTGTATCAACAGTTGTGACCGCGTAACCCACACAATTTCTACCGAAAATGTCTTTTGACGCTGAGCCGTCTACAAAAACATTACTGAAACTGGGATTTGGAGAACTATGTATATCAGTGCGAGGTTTTGTGTCTTCCTCTAATTTTTTAATGCAACAATGTTGTTCTCCATCCAGAGGGGTCGGTAAAAGTGTGCTCGGGTTCAGCTGGCCACACTTCTCTATTGTTATGTGTGATTGCGAAAGTAAAATCCCCACATAAGACAATTGTCTGGTGTGTGTAAGGAAAGATAGATTAGCTTGTAACAAAATGGCGGTCATAGCATGTGGGACTTTGATGGTCAACTTATGTCCCAGAACAATGTCTGCACATTTTTTAACCGCCGCTGCGGCTGCGGCGCAAGCCTGGACACAGGTTGGTAATCCGGCAGCTACAGAGTCAAGTTTACATGAGTAGAAAGCTAATGGACGCTGTTTGTCTCCAAAAGCTTGAGTTAACATTGCCTTCATGTACCCTGCACTACCATCGACATGGAGCATAAAAGGTTTTTCATAGTCTGGTAATGCTAAGACGGTACATGTTTGCAATGCTATTTTTAAATCAATAAAAGCTTTTTCTGCTTCTGGGGTCCACTGTATTTTGTCTTTTAATGCTAGGTCTTTACCATAAATGAGGTTCTGTAGTGGCTGGGTCAGCAGTGCATACTCTGGAATCCAGCATCTACAGAAATTGCACAGACCTAAATAACTCATCATTTGCTGTTTAGTTATCGGTTTTGGTGCATTTTGCACTGCTGTCTTTCTGCTCTCTAGTAGGGTGCGGCCTTGGCCTGTTAGTACATTTCCTAAGTAGATCACTTTGTTGCTCCACAATTGTAACTTTTGTTGTGACACTTTGTGGCCTTGTTCTGCTAGATGTTGCAGAACCGTCATTGTGTTTTCTTTACAGTCATCTTGTGTATGACCTGTAATCAATATGTCATCTACATAGCAGAAATTTTCCTGGAGCAGGGAGGGAGCAGGATGACATTGATTTCTTTAAAGCTTCTGCATACAGCGTTGGGCTGTTTTGAAATCCTTGTGGTAGCCTGGTGTACGTGTATTTTTCATTATCAAAAGTAAATCCAAATAGATTCTGTGAATCTTGGTGTAAAGGAACAGAGAAAAATGCATTTGAGAGGTCAATCACCGAGAACCATTGTTCTTTTGGTGTTACTTGATTTAAAATGGTGTGTGGATTTGTAACCACTGGAGGTATTTGCTCTGTTACCTTATTTATTGCTCATAGGTCATGAACTAGGCGATATTTTCCTGTATTGGCCTTTTTTATTGGAAAAATTGGTGTATTACACGTGGCTTTATTAGTTTTCACGAGAATACCTGCTTTTTGCATGTCTGCTATTACTGGCCTAATTCCTTCCTTTGCTTCTGCACTCAAAGGTTATTGTGGTTTCACAGGCCTTCTGGCCCTGATGCTGACCTAACTATCAGAGTGTCATTAGAGAATCTCATTTTCACTTGAGGCATTTTTAGATACCTTCTAGTTTTTCAAAGAATTCACACATCTTACATATTTCAAACTTTGAAGTTTTTTGTTTTGTATATATTTTTTTTTTTTCCTAAACTTTGCATTGCTCATAGCTCACAGTTCTAAAACTGGGCATTTGTGGGCATTCCGTTGCGGAACCTGCTATATATTTCCTCAGGTAAAGCCACAGTTCTAACACAAGATAATATGGTGCTAAAGAATATGCTCGTTATTTGGCGCAAAGTCAGGCGCCTGGAAGGATATTATAATTGTTTCTCCCTTCTTACTCCTATTCATGAAAACCCTGACTTCTTACCTGGTCTTCAGGCTGGTTTGGCGGACTGGTCTCAAAAAGGGATTAATACAGTGGGAGATCTTGTTCATGAGAACTCTCTTCTTACTTTTAATCAACTGAAAAGCAAGTTTGGTCTGACCAATAAGGATTTTTTGAAGTACTTTCAGGTAAAGCACTATATTACTTCTAAATTGAAGGATTTGAATGGAGGGTTCGGTCTTTCTCCTATAGAATCACTCATGGTAAAAACTACCCAACTAAAATGTATCACTAAAAAGATTTATAACATTCTGTCTGATCTTAGAATGGATAACTCTAACAAAATCAAGGGCCAATGGGAATCAGACGTAGGCACTATAGATGCTGAAGCTTGGGATGAGTTGTGTTGTCGTCCTTTTAAAGCCTTGGCATCTAATTCTATTTGGGAAAGGCAGTTTAAACTTATAAATAGGCTTTATATTACACCCGAGAAGAGACACATAATGTTTCCAGCTTTGCCTAATCTCTGTAACAAATGTCAGTCTGCTGTTGGTTCCTTTTTTCATTGTCTGTGGAGCTGCCCTGTTATTCTACAGTTTTGGAGATCACTCATAGACAAGCTATGTACTATATTTAATTGCCGACTGCATCTGGGTCCAAGGACTTGCCTGTTAGGACTGAACGATGAGCTACCTGCCGGCTTTCGCAGCAAAGATCTCCTTCACATACTGCTACACTACGCTCGAAAGTGCATTATGGTACTGTGGATTTCTGATAAGGCCCCATCTGTCAACCAGTGGCTGCAGTCTGTGATATGTATCATGCCAATGGAAGCCTTCTCTACAGCACTTAAGGACAAACCTTTCCTTTTCTATCGCATATGGGACCCTTTTTTGGCCCACCTGAACACTCCTTCTGCTCAGAGGTTGAAATCGGGCTTACGGGATTTAGCCTGGCAACAAAGGGACGATTGTTAACCTTTTTCATTGTTTATTAATATTGCTGTTGGCTTTCTCTTTCTGCCTCCCACGTCCTGCTATACATGTAGATGCATCTTTGTCCTGTGTGTGTATATGCTGGTGACTGCTGTTTCCCTGCTTTGCAATTAAAAGTTCAAAAAAAAAAACAAAACAAAAAAAAAAAAAAAAAAAACTGGGCACTTGTAAATCATATGCCTAATCACTATGTGTCACCGTAATCCACAAGTATTGGCACAAATTTGTTTCCAAACTAACAAAATAATCAAACAAAACAAAAACATACATGAGTCAGGACACAAAAAGACAAAGAAAAATGCTGCCAGAAACAAAGCAGAAGTGTGAGGGGAAACTGAGCTCACAGACAGCTGCATGTGTTGGCTTTTAATAGCATGCAGCCTCTGCTCTAAAAAAACCAATAAAAAAATAAAAAATAAAAGAAAATGTGTAACATGCTCATCAACTTAGCGGTGTCCACACATTTAATTCAGCTTCATAATCCTGTAGGTTTAGTTATTATCTACAGGGTTTGGCTTATTAGTTGTTATTATAGATGTGCTCTGTATCGCAGTAATATTTATCTAGGATAAATGACAGGTTTTTAAACAGGTTAAGTGCCTCTATGCACCTAATTGGTTTAGATATTGCTTTTATTTTCTTCATCTCATATTTCATTATA